TAGGGTAGGTTTAGAGTTGCTGAAAAACTGGCACACACACTTAGTGACCTGGTCAGGATGTAAACCCAGGTCTGTGGGACTCCAAAGTGTCAGCTACAGACCACCGCCATATGCCCTCTGCCCTGCTCTAAAATAGGGCTATGGGAGCCAGTTCCCCAGAGGGCCTTCCTACTTGTTTATTTCCAGATGAAAGGAAAAGCAGATATCCTGAGAATGAGCTGTTCATTCAGTGAGGGTGGGAAGAAGAGAGAAGGAATCCCTTTCATTGAAAAGAGAGAACCTAAAAACTGCCTGGAGTCTGAATCTCAGCATGTGCTGAAATAGCTCTGGCTGCAAAATCCCAGGTGGGATGCAATCTTTCCGTAGCACCTACTTTCCCCCAGCTCATTAGCATTTCCTTGCCGTTCTGGAAGCTCACAGCTGCGGACCTTCTTAGCTAATGACAGCTGCTTAGCAACAGGGAGCTGGTTAATAAGGCCCTGATGTTGTTTCCAGCTCCACAGACTCCACCCCTGTCTCCCATTACAGCTCAAACTCAGCTTGAAGCAACCCTCAGGTTGATTGACCTTCCCAGAGAGGGCCGGGAACCTGGTAACGAGGAGGCAGGGCTGATGGGGTTGGCCTGGGTCCCGCCCGCAATGCCTCCTAGGGAGAGGAGACAACTATGAGTCTGAGAACCTGCTGTGCCAGGCCAGGAACATCTTTGTGGACTTCCTAAACCTGCTCTACCACCGAAGGTTAAAATCCTACCTCAGAGCCCAATCAGAATAGAGCAAACAGAAATACAGGCACACTTCAGCTTTGCTTTATTGTGCTTCACAGATGTTGCATTTTTTTTTTTTTTTTTTACAAGCGGAAGGTAAGCCCCTCCACCAGCAAAGATTATGACTTGCTTTATATCAAATAGTCTGGAACTGAACCCACAATACCGCTGAAGTATGCTAGTATTGTGGGGGCAGATACTCCCAGAACTGCCAGAGGGGAAGGCAGGTCCAGAGAAAACCAGTGCTCATGTTGGGCTGATGCCTAAACTGAGTACGCCCTCTTTAAGCACATACATCATTATAATGAATGCAGAGTTCAAAGGTGAAACTTGGGACAATTTGCTGTTTAACCCTGATAATGAAGAACTGGAACTTTAAGCAAACATAATCAGTTGGGAGGGTATATGGGAGCAGCTAGGGCTTATGGAAGTTCTCAGGCTCTGTGTAATAGTAAGAGCTCTACAAGAAGAATTCTATGTTTATAATAAAGCTCTATGGTTCTAACTTGCCCTTCCATTAACTTTTTCCCCTTATATGAATACCCCTCTATCTGGACACACAGGCTATAGTGCGTACGTGGCTTGCTATGTCTGTATGCTCTGGGCTGCAACCCTTTCTTTTTCCTGAATAAATCCTTTTGGCGACAAAACACTTAGTCGATATTATTTTTCAGTTGACAACCCTGACCATGAGTTGCCCACAACAAAAGTTAAAAGTACCTTGTTCTCTGGGGGAGGGTATGGCAGGAGATATCAGCCTACACCTGAGGGTTCAAGAAGCAACAGGGAAAACAACCTTATTTTGAGCCTCAATTTGATTCAACAGTAAGTCTTAACTTTAGTGTAAAAGTTTCAAACGCCATATTTGAAACCAAATGCAAACCTGCCAGGACTTGACAAATCATACAGTGGTAGGTTTGGGCCTACTATCCAAGCCTCAGACTCCACCAGTGGAAGAGGGTAGTTACATGGGTCCTGATCTCTAGCCTGGTGATTCAGAGGTGGCGCCTCAATTTGATTCAACAGTAAGTCTTAACTTTAGTGTAAAAGTTTCAAACGCCATATTTGAAACCAAATGCAAACCTGCCAGGACTTGACAAATCATACAGTGGTAGGTTTGGGCCTACTATCCAAGCCTCAGACTCCACCAGTGGAAGAGGGTAGTTACATGGGTCCTGATCTCTAGCCTGGCGGTTCAGAGGTGGCTGCCTCAGAGCAGCACTGCAACCATGCTCTGTGGCTGGAAAATACACAGGCAATCCCTCCCTGCCAGCCAGGGTTTGCCAGCAAAGCTTCCTCATAAGGTTTCTACCTGCAGAGGCCTGACCAGTTTCTTGGGGGCCCAGAGCCCAAATGCTCCTCAAAGCTCTAGGGAATGTGGTCACTCCAGTCTCCACAGCCTTCACTCGGCTCCCAATCTCTCAGCACCTTCTCTGCACACCCATTTCTCCCAGAATGAAGCTCAATTCTGGATGTGGCTAGGAAAACAGCAAGATCCAGCATAAGATTGAATCTGCTTCAGGCTAAAAATGCATTTCTGAGCATTATTCCAGAGGTTGAAGGGACTGGTATATCAGAATCTCCAAAAAGCCAGAGGAGTAGAGTTTTTCCTCAATACATATCTATTCTTCCCTCTGCCTCCCCACAAGAATCCCTGATTATGATTCCACTATGTGATGCATGTAAATGGTTTGCAGGCAGGAAAAAAGACTGATAATCACTGCTTCGAACCAACCTTATTTTGAGCTCCAATTTAAATTTACCTACCTCTGAATACCAATTTTGACAAAGTGTAAAGATTCTTTTTCCAGGCATTTAGATGCCCCAGCTTGCCCTAGCTTTATACTGCTGGTAGCCTCTCCTGCTAATGTTCTCCTCGGTGACTGTGCACTGAGCCAAAGGCAGAGGCAGCAAACTGGCAGAGGCTTGCAGATGCCTTTTGTTTGGCCCACACATTCTTTTAAAAATGGGAATTAGTTATCAGCATTTAAAAATTGAGAAATTTCACATAAACACCCAGAATTCTGGCTTCTCTTAAAATAAAACAAAGGTCATGACAAGCCTAGGCCGGTATTCTTGCAGGAGCTAAGTGGTGGCTGTCCTCTTCAAAAGGGCAAATGCAGCTAGCTCAGCCCACCCCCTACCACTGCCTGTTCTCATACCCAGCCTCTGTGTGGACCTTTCTCACCTGACCCTGCAGACATTTAAGTCTGCACTCCTGAACCCAAGGCATCTCCTGAAATCCAGCAGAACAGGGTTCCTGGGCTGACTTTAGATTTGGGTCAATTTCATAAACCTTTTTTCTATTTCAGCAACTGAAACTGGCTAAAAGTAGAAGAATCATTCCTTCTGAGGGTGAGACCCTGCCTGCTGGAAATGGCCCTGGGGTTCCAGGCAGGAGAAAAAAGCAAAAGCTCCACTGCTTCCTGGAGCCCCTGGACTTATGAGAGAGGAGAGCTTACAGTTTCTTCCCACCCTAACTGGCCAAATGTGGGATGCCCACAGCTTTTCTCCCTGCCTCTCTTTCCCCATTCCCCCATGGCCACCCACATGTGGCGCCCATACACAAGCTGTTTGTGCTAAATTATTCTGTGTTGTGTTTGCTGTGGGTGCTCTGGATGAAGCCTAGCACCAAGCCATGCAAAAATGGGCCATGAGCAGAGCCCTTCTGGTAACAATAACAGACAGTGGCTGACATCAAGGGAACCCAGCACAAGTAGAAAGGAGCAGAGTCCTAATACTCATCAAAGCTACTTATTGCAAAACTAGAATACTTTTTCCCTAGCATAGGATCTGCCCAAGAAAAGGTGAGATTAAATTGCTCTTTGCAAACCTGGGAATCATTACATCATCCCAAAGAACCAGGAACACTCACCCAAAAGGGAGATGGTAGGAACTCAAATCCTACAAATCTAGCCTCAGCATCAACATACAAAGGAGAAGGAAAGATGCATTTTCTGAACTCTTACAATGCTAGAACATTCACATGCATCAACCTCAATCCACACAAAAATTCCTTAAGGTGGGACTCATCCCTCTGTTTTTAGAGGAGCAAACTGGGGGTGACAGATGTTAAGAAACTTGTCCAAAATGACTTAAGAAGCAGAGCACCAGGATTTGTCTGAATCCTCAGTCTTTCACTCAGGCTCTGCTCACAGGCAACCTCTCCCCAGTCATCTTTCTGCATTTCTCTGCTTTTTCTTCATAGCTATTGTCATACCTTTTATTGCATGATATATTCATGTGTGCATTTGTTTTCTGTCTGTCTCCTCTACTCAGAGAACAGCATCTGATACTGGGTGAACCTTCAGTGTCTGTTGCTGGACTAATGGGAAGGACAGCTCTATCTGCCTTATCACACTATTGTCATCTGCTTTTCTTCACTCCTTCTCCTCAGAAATGCACAAATTCTCTTCCACAAACCCTAAACACCAATCTCAGAGGCCAAGTAAAACAACCTAAAGATGGCAACTGGCTCTGTGTCTCTTCAGAAAGGGAGTTGAAAAGATCAAATTCCTGAAAAATCCAAGAAAACTTGCTGTACGTAGAGACAGGCTTGCTCCTACAAAGGCAAAAGTGTTCCCATTGAGGAGGAAGTGATGGTTTATTACAGACCTTCTCTCTTCTAAGGCAGGAAGGCTTTGGCTATCCCTCCTATCCTACATTCATGTTGTTTTGCATCCAATCAAGTGCTTGGAGAGTTGGGATGCTAAAGCAACACAGGTGGGGTTAATTAGACAGTAGATCTGGCACAAAAAACATCCAAAAAGTACAAACCCTTCCTCGGAGTTAAAGATAAACCAGAGTAGTGGTTCCCACACCTGAATTATCTAAGACAATGGTTCTTAAAGTGTGGTCCCTGGACCAGCAGCATCAGTGTCACCTGTGAATTTGTTAGAAATGCACATTCTCAGGCCCATCCCAGACCTACTAGAATCAGAAACTCCAATGTTGAGACCCAGGAATCTGTTTTAACAAGCTTTTCAGGTGACTCTGATGTACGATAAAATTTGAACAGTATTGTCTTAGGGAACTGAACATGTATAGATTTGTGGATCCTGGGTATTTTGATTCAATAGGTCTAGGAGGGGGCCCAAGGAGATTTTAATAGCTTCTAAGTTGATTCAGACTTGCAGCCAGATTTAAGTACTACTAAACCTGAGGACTCATTTTTCCCTGGTCCCAGGACAGTGTATTCAGTTTTAAACCCATCTCCCACTATCCCCCAGTCACTCACCACACAGAGCAATGATGTGGCTGCTATCTTCATGCACAAACTTCCTGGTGACAGCCTCCTCCATGATTTGCTTCACCTGTGGACAAATGGGCAGTATCGTCATTTATTTTTCTGATCAAAGTCCTGTGGGCAAGTAAATAGCTTGGCTCTGCTCTCCTCTCTGGATTGACACTTGCAGAGCAGATAATAGGGATGGGAGGGGTGGGGATGGCGGGGGTGGGGAAGCAGTTTCTTCAGCATAGACAGATCCAAGCATCTTGTAAAGGCAACCAGGAAAAGAGATACTAAAACCCACCAACCAATCAGCTGACCAACCAAGCAGAGGCTTCAGCCCAGAAGAGTCCTGCTGTGGAGAACAGGGCCAGGATGCTGTTTGCTCATCTATACTTAGCTGGAGAAGGGCTTCTGGGCAGATACACTGTCCTTTAGGACAAACTGTCTCAGTACGGGCTGCAGATAAACAACCTCCTTTTCTTCCCCTTCTCTGAGGTTAGGGGTAGGTCCATCCAGGCCTCAGGACACTCTGCACATGCTCGCAAGCTCAGCTTTATTTCTGTCCAGGTAAAACCCTGATGTTTGGGTTCTTACCTGGATGTAAAGCTCCCAAATATCTTGTAAGGTAAGCAGTTACATCTTTTAGAAAACACTTAAAAAAAAACACACACACACTTTTTTATTGATATATAGTAAACACATAGAAAAGGGTATATATCATAATTATACAGCTTGATCAATTTTCACAAACTGAACACACCTGTGAAACCAGCATCCAGATCAAGAAACAGAACATATGACCTGTACCCCAAAGCTACCCCCCACTCTGCAGTTTCCTTCTATTCATTACTCCCCTCAAGGGTACCCACCATCCTGACTTCTAATGTCATAGTTTGCGGTATTTTGTACTTTTACTAGACAGAATTACTCAATGCTCAGTGTTTTGTGACTGCGTTTCTCTTGCTCCCTGGTGTGATTGTGAGATTTGTTGTGTGTAGTTGTGGACTGTTCATTGTACATTGTGTGAACACACCACAATTGACTGGCATTTGAGTAGTTTCCAATTTGAGGTTGTCATGAATAGTGCTGCTATGAACATTCTGTACATGTCTTTGGGTGAACATAGGTGCTCATTTCTCTGGATTTATATTTTTAGGCAAGGAATTTATGATGCATATTTTCTGCTTTACTAGATTTTGCCAAATTGTTTCCAAAGTTGTTGTACCAATTTACACTCCCGTAAGCAGTATAAGAGGTTTTAGTTACTTCTAACACTTAAGCCAAGCACTTTTGATGTCCTGGGGGAACCTGCCAGGGGACAGATACTAATCCTGGAGATTAGAGGAATGGATTACCTCAAGACAAGTATAAAACCTTCCAGATAAAATATGCTCTAGCCAAAGCTGGACTTTGCCATTCCTTAGACAAGGCACGCAGTGTCCTGATGCTGTCCTTGCTCCCAAGTCCCTCACCTATGACTGTACAGTTTGGACGATGATAGTGCTTCTAAAGCCTGAGAAGTAGGAAGGAAGGGAATGGAGGCTCCTTCCTGCTGGAAACTGCTCATGGTTAGTGCTTAGGTAAAGGGGATTCAGATCAATCCTGCATTCTAACCTCTTAAAATCTTCTTAGATTACTTCCCAAGGAGTGTTTGCATTAAACAGAGCATAGTCACAGTTCAAAGACATGCAGGCATCTGAAGCGAGTGGGAGGACAGATTTTTGGGTTAGGAGGACCAACAGATGCCCCTAGAATCATACCAGAGGTCTTTTGTGAAAGGTCAGCCTTGCCTACAATTATCCCCATTGTCTCTACTTGTAGGAGAAGAAAGGATATTTTCTCTTGAAATCAAGCACTCAAAGGGGTAAGGGAATCAAGAGCTCAGAACAGGCCAACCTTTGTCAGGTAATATATATAGCTGTAGCATATTCTGGACATTTCTCATATTTGTTTAAGAATCATTCTTGTATTATAGACAGCTTTCTAAGTACAAAAAATAAATCATTGTCTTCTCAAAAATCTTTCCCATCATCCCTGATCAACTCCAAATTTGGATCACACCAACAATTCTAGGACTTCTGTCCATAGTCTGGATATGGCTATTTTTTGTTCTTGTTTATACTGTTCACATAAGTCTCTCACTAGACTGCTTGTTTTCTGAGGATAGTCACTGAGATTTGAGATTTCTCTTTTCCTTGGGGAGACTACAATTGGGCTTAAATACTGATTTGATATACTCCTGGCCTAAAAAACTCTTTCTTGGCTACTTCACAGCAAAGTCACAAAGGAGCTTCACACATACACAGCTAGAAGGGTGATGGCTTCAATCACTTCTTTACCAGTGGCAGGGAAAAGAACAAGTGTTAGGGCACAATAACCAAGCTATAGTTAATGCAGGAGAACCATCTAGAGCCTTCTAGAATTTTATGAGAACCCAGAATCTCCTCCAATCCTGAAACTCTAGGAGGGGGTAAAGGAACCAATATGGTAAATTTATATATGAGGTAGATATAATTATCCCTATTTTAGAGATGAAAAAATTGAGACTCAGAGAGGTTGAGTAACTTATTCAAGATCATATAGAACTAGGTCCAGACTATTCCCAAATTTAAGCATTCCCATCAGACTTTGCAGTCTCCAAAATCAGTAGATTTAGTTACCAAATAAATATTCATTGAGTGCCTACTGCGTGCTAGGCACTGGATACAGAGTAGCAGACAAAACTAACGGTTCTTTTGCCTCCATGAAGTGTATACATCTGGCAGGCACAGAGGTAGGTAAGAGTTGTTCATGGCTCCAGAGGCCTAATCTATTCTAATCCATCTGCGGAGTTGAGCTCTCCAGCTCTCATATGGGGGTGAGTCATTCATATGGGCACCCTCCTTCCCTATGAAATCAAAATGGGCTTTAGGGCAGGTCAAGTTAAAGGACGTTAGTACAGAGGGCTCTTTCCTCTTTCTGACATTGAGGGTGGGGTGCCTCCTCAAAAGGGGAAAAAAAAAATCTGAGTGTTAAAAACCATTATCAACTCCCCCTACCCTTGTCTTTGGGTAAGGAGGTGGGCGTGGAGTGAGAAGCCGTGAGGTGTGCTGCGAACTCTCCCGCAGCCGCCACTCAGTTCTCAGAGGTCTACAGAGTGGGGTGTAGGGCAAAACCGATCTAAGCCCCCAAATCGCCTGTTCGGCCGCTCTAGGAGATCAGAGCGGGGCCCCGCCCCCTCCCCAGGCGGCACG